CAAACACAAAACACCATCATGGTAACACACATGATACTTAATGCATTAAACTTTCATTAAACAACAGAAGATGTAACATAATATACATAAATATATACATAACTAATAACAAAAACTATTAAAAAAACATGATTATTTAAACAAAATACTTTCAAATGTGGAGTGTCATGCAGGGAATTCTGGGAATATCAGTTTATAGTTTTTGACTGTAAATTACACATTGATTTGTTATTTTTACTTCTAAAAACGGTCAAATTAACAGCATTTTACTGTAAAATGACATGAAATGTCTGGTTAGATATTTTACAGTTTTTCCCTGTATATAGTACGGGAACTTACTGTTAACCTATTAACAGTTTTTTTCCGTAGCGTTTTTACAAAATGTTACAGTTAAAATTACACTTATTTTTTACAGTGTACTACAGTATCACAACTCCAGCACATTGATGGGTATGTTAAAAAACTGTTCGGGAGATTTATCTTCCCTCAAGATCCTTGATAAAGTAGTCCATACATTTGTCTGGAGGAATACTCTACTACTGTGGTCATGTTTTACATCAAATATTTATAATAGTTCTGTCAAACTGGATGTTTCATCGCTGCACTAATTTTGCGCTCTCTCAATATCTCTAGACTGCACAGAGTGCCGTCCCAACGGACAGCTAAATGCATCTCAGCAAACCCCACACAGAACTCCAATGAGCCGCAGCCGTGCATCCCACGGGCTTACATGAATGTGTTTATCCCAAGTGGGTTTAATTTTGTCCCTCTCAGTCACTTTAGTCCTCTAAACTCGACATCTCCTTCTACCTCTCTCCTCTCCTCAGTTACATCATGATGCTCCACCGGACTCTCTCTCTTTAACCCAGATGGGGTTTGGGATGAATTGGAAAATGAAGACCCTGACACAAATAATCCGCTGTGCTTGACAATGGCCATTACGCTGCTGAAATAATTGGCTTTTTTAACAAGCTGGTGTGAGAAGCAATTTTCCAATGTCTGAGCAATTTATTTTCTCACCACATACTCTTAAAATAATACAAAAAAGAAAAACAAACACAATATGCCAAACGACCTTCATAAAAGGTACCGTGTTTTGTCGTTAGCCTTGCCTCTAGTATTGCTGTCAATCAAATGCTGCTTCACACCCACTGGACCCTCTAGACTTCTTCCTTAAATATTGATAAACCAATAACAGCAGATTATGATATAGTGACTTTTTATTCATTTAGAGGGCAGAGGTCATTTCTCCAGTGACTGCAGCTCAATGTTTTGCTCACTAGATGAATTATTATGTAGGAGAAGGTATGTCATCCTGTGGACTTTGAGAACGTAACTTTAAAAATGCTGCATTCACATGAAGGAAGGAAGGTATATAGGCATATTCAGATCCATGTTAACCCACGATCCTGTGCGTGGGGTTAAAGCACTGACTTAGTCACAGTCATAGCATCCTATTGCTAAAAAGGCCCTCGTCTTTGATGGTATTCTTGTGAGGAACCAGAAGATAAATTGGATTCTGAAATCCTAAGAAGATAAATCCCCTCGGATTCAATGTAGGGTCATACGATCACCATGTACACCACTGAGGGATGTTTTTTATAACCTGGAGACAAAAGCAAATTATTCTAATTTTGTGATGGCCTCTTTCACATGGGAAGCAGTTAAAAGCAAAGAACGCAAAGTTCAAATAGTTAAAGGTGGAAGGTTTAGAAGTTTCAAAATTGTGAGTAAGCTATTTTCTTGATTTTAAAATTACACCGGTGGTTTTATTAGCGAGAGAGACATTGAAATAACCCAGTATGGAGTCATCACATCCATCAAAAAATGACTTCTTGTCTATTACACATCCAAACAACAAAAACTAAGGCAAGCAAAGACATAAAGACGGAATACTGGCTTTGAAGGAAGAGAAAGGACATCTGAGGCCATGGAAACAAGCATTTGGTGTCGTGTTTCATTATTTTATGATTTTATAAAAGCAACATGCTGAATAAGGATGTGAATTTCAGCTCAATGCAGTGACCCAGCAGTGAGTCGTTCTACCAGCAGATGGCAGTAGTGTAACAGAGTTCAGATGATAAGACACTACCACACACTCGCACACGCACACATTCAGGAGGAGGATGCTCACTTGCATACATGCAGAAACGCTTCTGTGAGCTACCTAGAAAATATTTCTAATTCCATACATTTACAGTCACATTACTATGGATCCGTAATCGTACAGGATCAAACAGCACGCACTTGTCTGAGTCTGAGTACTTCCTCCCATCACATGGGAGAATCTACCTTCTGCGTGTGTGTGTGTGTGTTGGCTACCACTTTTAAGAGCTACACGAAGCTCGTGTGGTGCAGAGTCTTTTGATTCAGTGTCTCGCTCTCTGCCAGGGTCGGAGCTTAACAGCCGTGTTTCCAGCTGTGCAAAACTGTGGACTTGGAGACACTTGAGCCACTATCTACAATATACAATTGTAAAACTGCCCACCCTCTGTATAAATGCAACACTGAAGCTTCCTGTCGCTTGACCCCTCCTGCGCTGTTTTTCTTTCCATCCTCTTGTTGCGTTTTCTTTTCTATTTCATTGCCTCTATCTTTCCCTTACACACACATTTTTTGTCAAACACATTTGGTTCATATATATTTTTTTCTATTTTTTTAAGTTTCTATGGCATGAAAAACTACTTATTGCGGAAACATTTGCAACGTGTGTGCAATAACAAACTTGTTAAAATATGATCAAATGAAACGATAATGATAGTGCAAACAGGGTAAAAAGCAAAAAAAAAAAAATAAGTAATGAAAAATTTAATCAAATAAAAAAGAAAGGAAGCAACAATTAATTTTAATAAAAATGGAAAAGAAAACTTTTTTGCATGCTTTAGTTATATTGCTAAAGCATTTTCAGTTTACAGTTGCAGTTACATCTATTATAAAACAAAATTACAGTAGAGTAAATATAAATTAAAATTAAATTACAAACAGAAAAATATATAAAGTATATATGGAATGTATAATATTATTTAATATAAAATAAAATAATAAAATAAAAAAATCTGGACATGGTAGCCTCCATATGCTGGATTCTTTATCTCACATGCATGAGTGTATATTATATTAAACATTTTTCAAAAGAGCTATTTATTTCTTCAGGGGTAAATCTTTTTTTAATAAGGGAATAATACTGATAGCACCTTTAAATACATAATTTAGAAGGTTAAACTAAAGGAAAATAAGACTAAATGCCTTATGAGCATAAGTTTAGAGATATATGATGCCTCCTGTCTCTTTCTTTCCTCCACACACAGACCTGCTCTCTTTTTCTCTCCCCCTCCAAACATGCCCCCTCTGCCTTCTACATCTGCTGAGTACACAGTTAACAGCTCGACCTGCCGCTCCGCATCCTGATTTGCCCATCGAACCTGTCACCTCCTAATCTCTAAAATGCCTCATGTCACACACGCTAAACACACACTCACCCCACAGGCCATCTGAAAAGCTATCCGGGGGTGCTAAAATGCTCAGGCCAGTTCTGTGAACAATCCTTCTCATTTCTCCACACACCGATACCCCCATGTATGGATTTCATGTGGATTACATCACAAATCACTTTATCCCCCAAGAATTCTGTCAAGAAGTCCAGTCTCTCCACCCGCAGCTAATGCCCTCTGAAACCCTTTCAGTCTGTTTATCTCATGATCTGACCGACTTCTCCAGTCCAGAAAGAGGAACCTCTGAGATTCACACATTCTTTTGCTGTGAAGGAAGGCAAGTGGGAGCTTATCTGGAATAAGATATTGTTTTCCTTTACGCTCCTCACAGGTAACCCGTTGAGGAACACGGAGAGAGTTCCAGATCAGTGCTTTCGGGGCCAGTTGTCCCCTGAGCATGTGAATGTATGAAGTGCTGCTTTAGGGAGAACAGCACTAATGCTTCTCTGTCATTAGCAGGCTGTCTAAAAGGCCCTCTTGCTCTAACCTCAGTTAGAGAGCATCCCCTCAGGGAGAGTAGTGAATGTGTAATACAAAGCAATATCCCACCACAGCTGTATATCAACTTCCTCTGTTCATGAAAAACAAAGTTGCGGCCGGCGGGAATCCAATAGGCGAGCCTTAGCTGCAAGCTCTGGCTCAAGGGTAATGTGCACGCAAAGCTCATTTCCCATGAATCAAAAAAGTGATTTCAAAAACATATTTAATGTGCCGCTGTACCTTGTTCTCTGAGCTAGTGCATTTGATGTTGGCGACAGCACTAGAAGACGACGGCTGTGGCTAACACCTGTGGATAAAGCATACACTGCGCTGCTTTAACGCACTTTGTTCTGCTCCTCGCTGCCTCGTAACAAACTGTTGTTTGTTGGTAGAGCTCAACTTTTGCAGAGCTAGCTTTAATGTTTACACTGTCCTGTGAAGGTTAAACGCGGGGCTCTAAACAAGGGTGTTGGTGACTAGATTGGTTCCCATTAAGACTTTAGATATGCAAGAAGTTATGGAGGCAGTGACACAAAATACAATCTGAATTTGTGAACTTTGTTTAGACACACTGTAAAAAAAAAAAGGTAATTTGAAATGTTTCAAGTAATTTTACAGTTAAATACTCTTAAATGTATAGTTTTTGGATGACTGTAAAGTGAAAAAGAACAATTCATCTTATAATTTACAGTTAAGAACCGTAGATCCCTGTGGCACTTCACATTTGATGGCTTTTCATTGAAATTTCTTCTTAGTTTTTTCTAGTCATTAGTTATATGCATTAGGGTTTCATATAACATACTATGTTGTTAAATCAATGTTTATTGAATATTATTTTAGTGCTGGTGTTTTATCTTTGTGTGCATGACACTGCACAAAAATAAATAAATAAAACATTTGAAGTTGCAAATAAAGTTTACTGGAGAATGATTTACAAGAAAATACTATTTCAAATTTTCTACTTCAAAATGTCATGTTTAAAGGGGTCATATGATGCTGCTAAAAAGAACATTATTTTGTGTATTTGATGTAATGAAATGTGTTTATGCGGTTTAAAGTAAAAAAAACACATTATTTTCCACATACTGTACATTATTGTTTCTCCTCTATGCCCCGCCTTTTTGAAACGCG